TATATATAGTACACACTTATAGCATTTTATCTCTTTGTGCCACTTTCATTTTAAAAGGCAAAAAATTAAACCAAAATAATTACCATTATGCTGAAATTCTGGATCTCTCAGGGAGCCCTGAATTCGACGAGCAGGATGCCAGTAGGAGGGAACACCCATTGGAGAAGGCAACTGTCTGGGAGTGTTTGTGGGATATTCTGGAGTTTTTGAAACCGGAAGTGCTGTCTCAGCAAATTTAGGGAGATTAGTTTCAGAATCTTCCCGCAAAGGCAGAGGATCAATTGTTTTTATACCAGCAGCAGGAGAAGTCAGTAGGGATAGAGCATGACTTCCTTTCTAAACACCAAAAAAAGAAAAGATACATACACATATATTCATATACAGCTAAAGAAACCAGGAACTCAAAGTTAAACTGAATGACCATAAAACTAACAGTAGAAAACAGGGGACATTCTATGTCATCTCCATGGAAAGAAAATTCTATAAGTATAACATCCAATATCAATCAACGATTTGGTTGTATAAAAACAAAAAAATATATACATTAAAAATCAAAAGAAAAAATGTCAAACTTGAGGAAAATATATAACTTGTATGATTGACAATGAGTTATTACTGCTATATAATATGTAAAGTACTACGAAAAAGATAAGCCTAAATAAAAAGTACAAAAAGAACATGAATAAGCAATTCATATACAAAAATATAGCAAACATATTCTACTTTGTTAATGTTCAAAACATTATAAAATGAATGCATTGAGATACTAATTTTTTTATTTCTCCCTCAAAACCCATAAACCTGGCATTTTCTTGTATAAAACAAGATATGAAAAATTCAAATACCATGCTAATGTTTACTATAAGTAACTTACCTCGTTATTTCCATTTTCCTTATAAGTGTTTTAAACATAAAATTAGGTTTTGAAATTTATCAATTTCTTCCCTCAAAGTTAGTCTATTAACATAATGAATTTAATCAAAAGATTTTTCTGATGTTGAAAAATCTTTTCATTTATGGAATAAGCCCTACCTACTTAAAGATATTGTATTGTTTTTAACAAGTTCTTGGATTCAGTTGGTATTTTATTTAAAATTTCTATCTTTTCCAATACCTATTCACAGCAAAAATAAAATAAGATAAATTTTCTGGTGAGATACCAATTATTTGCTTACCAAACAGTAAAAATTCATTAAAAAAAAAAAAAAAGCAATAATACCCAGAGTAGGCAATGATATGGGAAAATTGGCATTTTCCATAGACAGACTGAGCATAATCTTTCTGGGATGTTTTTGTAAAACACAGCAAAAGCCTTAAAATCTTGTGTCCTTTCATGTGCAGTAATACTTGGGGAGTAAATATTTACAAAAACAAAGAGAACAATATGAACAAAAAGGTAGCCAAAGGATGGATTTCTTTCTTTTTTATAATTTTTTTTTAGTTGTCAATGGACCTTTATTTATATTCGATGCTGAGAATCAAACCCAGTACCTCACACATGGCAGGCAAGCGCTCTTCCACTTAGCTAGGACCCCAGCCCAGGATGGGCTTCTTTATAGCATTTTTTCAAAATAGAAAAATTAAGAAATAGAAATCTAAATAAAAATTAATTTTCAACAAAACCTAGTTTAAAAATTATAGTAAACTATATATTGTATACTATATTGCCATTAAAAATAAGATATTAGTGACTTTGAATGGTATGAAAATATGTTCACAATACAGGGCTAAGTAAGAAAAACTAGATTAACATATACACATACAGCTGTATACCTCAAAAATTTAATAGTGAATATCCCCAGAGAACAAGGGTGAGACTATTTATTTTCTTTTATGATTTGGTCTAGTATTTTCTGTTCCACAATGACAATGTATCATTATCCTAAAATCCTGATGATTTTACTTTTCAAGAGAATATAAGCTAACAAAATTAAATACAGTTCCAAACTTTCCTGATCATTCCTTAAATGTTGCCTTCATTATTAGCTTTGAATCTATAAATGCAACATTCAAAACACTGCTTTTTAACCTCAGGTATCATATGCTGCAATTGGAGATTCAAAGTGGAGATAGCACGAAGTATCAACCAACAAACATATTTAAATCAAGACCTAGGATAAAACCACAATCTCCCACTTGCTTATCTTTTTAACTATATCACTTAACATAATAAAAATAACTCTAAAGGGAAATTGTTCTTTTTTTCATTTATTACATATCAGCAAAGTTTAGATTATTTATCAAATCAGTTTTATATTATTAAAGAAAATCTGAAAATAATTTGAATGCTTAGGGTTCTTGAGTTAAATGTGAGTAATGAAATGATCTGTTTTTGAGTCTACAGTTCCTTACTGGTCTCAGTGCTTCCACTCTGCCCTGTGTACAATAGTTCTCCAGTGAGTAGCCAGGGTGAGTTGATTTACCCTGTAAATCAGGTCCTATTTGCTTTGCTGCTACAGATCTCCAAGGGCTCCCCAGTGTTATCAGAGAAACATTCAAATTCCTTACTCCACTTCCCTTTCCAGCTTCATTTCCTACCCTCTCCTCTTCCCTGTTTGGGCTCCAGCCACAGGGCCATTTCACTGTTTAAAAATGTGTGCCTCACTCTTCTAGCTAAAAAGTAAGCAATATTATAAATTAACAAGGTCATAATTTTACTGCTCTTTGCTTCATTTCCTTTCTGTATAAATGAACAAAAAATTAACATGACTTCTAAGTACAACTGCTTTAAGAAAACAAAAATCATGCCTTGTAGAGTACATGAGCAGCCTGAATTTTACCTCTTGGGAATTAAAATAACCTTAAAATGTATACTTACTTTCCAATGAGCATATGACAAAACTGAAATTTTTATAGGTGGTAAACTTTTTAATTTCTACAAGTAACACAGATGTACAAGGTCTAATCAATTCTATTCTCTTTATCTCAAAATATTGTAATAAATATCAATTATCCTCAACTCACAGTCAAAGTTATAGTTTTCAACATTCTTTCCTCAAATAAAATTTGGTACTAAGACAAAAGGCAAAGGCAACTTAGGTTATTTTTCATATTGCTAGCATATCATATAATTAATGTTATGATTGTTCAGAATGTTCAAGAAATCTTTTGAGTTTGGAACCTGCTAAAGTAGTGTCATTTATTTAATGATGCATTCTGACCCCCCTCCTCCAACTTTGTGAATGCAATTCACTTTATGGGATGAAATTGCTTTTCAACAGCAAGTGATTTTGTTTTCATTGTAAAAAGTTTTGGATTTTGTCTCCTACATTTTTAATCATACAGAAACACTAAAAATATCATTTTTTTTCTTTAAAAAAGAAAAAAAAAAAAAACTCAGCCCCAGGTAAGGACACTTGCACTTGCTAGTCTTCCTACTTGGAAAACAATCTCTGCCTCAGATCCCTGTAGGGACAACCTTCCTCATTAGTCCTTCTTAGCTAGTTACCTCTTGGGCGTGCCTATCCTGATGGCCTCACCCATCCATTGGAGGTCATCTGAAGTTATTGTTTAATTCACAGCACTTCCTACTATGCAAACTTATCTTCCTAAAGAAATTATATATGTTTCTCCCAGTGAAAATGGAAGCTGCATGAAGACAGAGATTCTGTCTTGATAATCAAGGAGCTCCAGCCCTCAGAACAGTGCCTAGCACCTAAGTTAGAGCCAATGAATATGGAATTGAGTGAATAAAAATGTAACTCCTGATATTCCCCTCCAAATAGAGTCCTTGTCCAGAGTTCTCTTAGTACAAAGCCCCCATCAATCCTGTCGGAAAGCCAGAGACTTAGAAGTCCTCCACGGTCTTTCATTCCCCATCACCTAACCCAGCATCAAGGCTTGGCACTGTTCCCCTCACACAGTTTCTTCCACTTCTTCAGTTTCATCCACTTCTATCCAGGCCTGTTCTCATTAGCCCAAGACATCCCAACAACATCCCCTACTTGGACTACCACAATGGACTTTAAAAGAACTCCAGTCTACTCTTGCTTCCTAGGATAACCACCAAGAACTTGCAAAATATAATCAATCACAGTACTCCATTATTTAAAATATTTTGATGGCTTCCCATTGCTCTTGAGATAATAAGAGAAATTTTTAATGCTGCTATCTTTTCTAGCCTCATGATCTACCATGCTCCCCACCACACAATGCACTGGTCCTTATTTCTTAAAACCCTATGTTCTTTTTCTCTACAGATTTTGGTACATGCTATGCTCTTCCTCCCCACCCTTTGTATGCAATTAGGGCTTCCACTGCCTCTTTATCTCAGGTGAATTATGATTTCTTCTAAGAGGCATCCTTGACTTTGAAGATGCTTCCTGACTTCCATGATTAGGTCAATTCCTTCCAGAACAGCACTATATATTTCAGAGTTTGAAGCCCAAATTAGTTTTAATTTCTAATTTTGGGGGGGTATGACTGATTATTTGTCTCCTCACAAAACCATAGGTTCCACAAGGTCTTGTATCATATCTGTCCTTATTAGCGTTACAGCCATGCTATCTAGCATGTGTATAAATGGAGAAGCAACTCCTGCTGAATAAAGAAAGTAACACACATCTGGGTTTTTAGTATCATTTATAAAATATGAAAATGCTACCTGAGGACCAAACCAATATCATGAGAACTCTATAAAATTTTGTGAGACAGTTATGTTTAAGGATTAAAATCACGAGCTCTGAGGATAGACCAACCAAAATCCAATTCTATTCCTCCACATGACAACCATGTGACCTCAGTTTTACTGTCTAATTGAGCATTAAAACACTCACCTCCCCAAGTTTATACATGTAAGGTGAAAGTCACCCTAATTGTTGCTACCATATAATTTCTACACAATTTAAGGTATGTGATTAAAAGTTAATGGTGAAAAAGTTCCTGAATATTATGATTTAGTCTAATTCCTACAGCAAAAAGAGATATAAGGTGCTATTAATCAAATGTAATTAAGTAATGGGAATAATTCATTAGAAACTAAAAGACTATGGGTTTAATTTCATACATAACAATAGTTTTTATAAGAAAATAAAGAAAAAAACTGATTTGGCATATCAAGTTTAATGACTCAAGTTTAACAATTCTACCAACAGCAACCAAGGGATAGAAAATAAGAAATAACCACATCTAGTTCCTAGTCCAGCCCTGATGCTACTTGTGACAGAAAATTCTGGTGGCAGAGATTTCTAATCAAGTTATGAGTAAAAAATATGCTTGTTTCAGAAAAGTTTGAATTCAAATGTTATAATTGCATAGTGTACCCTCTGAGGTAGAGATTGGCATTAAAATGTCAAAGGACATTATTAGTCTATTTATATTATTCAAAAACTTAATTCCACAAAAAGTGAAAATAATACATACAAATCCACTGCAAACAACAAATTATGTCCACCCACTGTGGCTAAGTCTTGTGTGCCCAGCTGCCTAAAGCTTACACCTTCCAGGTGGCAGCCTGGACTTCTGAGGAGGGGGCAGAACAGTCCATGGGGGCGAGTGATCGTCAGCATTTTATTCTGATCAATCCTCTGACTATCCTCCTATTGTCACATTTCATTTAAGAAACCAATACATGCATAAGCAACAAGAAATAGTTCAGATATTCTATCACCCAAATGATATTCATTCACCATGTATATAATAAGTAGCGGCTATGAGCTGGCCTCTATTCTGAGCAGTGGGGTTAAGAGGACCTCTGATACACTCCCCCACCTCTCCCTGAAACCCCTAAAAAGTCCTACTGTGTACTCTGGAACTCATGAAAAGCCATTAACAAAATCACACACAGATTTTCAATCCTTTCTCTGAATGTTTTCTATTCTACTTTAACCCATGAATATATGTGAAACCTTGTCATTACTGGTAACTGCAACCTCTTCATAATCTTAACTCCTAACCAACACACCTCCTAACTTTAAAACTAATCTCCACAAGTACCCCAATTCTAACAAGTGTTTAAGGCTATGAAGACCTTCCTCCCATTGATCCTGCAATGTTTGCATTGTCGCGTTACCTTCTGCTGTCCTGCCTAATGACTTCCACAGTCAATTATCATAAATCACCTCCCTACACACACTATAATTCCCTTAGCCTGTTTCTCACTTTTTTCCCTTAACAAAACATGTTTACAAGTAGTAATTAAATCCAACTCTACCTATCCTTCATCTCTACAACCAAAAATATGCCTGGAGAAAAACACACAACCTGTCCCATTTGTTTTATATCAAATTTGTGACCACTAATCTACAACAGACTTTACCACTGCCTTCCATGTTCCACATTTCCCATTGCTTTCCTATTCTCTGATAAGTCTATTTTATGACTCCTTCCTTTTCAAATCTCCAACATTTTCCTCCCCAGCCTCATTTGCAGCAAGGATATTCCTTTATACATCATCAAGAAACAATCAGAAGACTCTCTCCAAAAGCTCCTTCACATCTTCCTATGTTCGTTAGCAGTGCACAGGAATTCTGCTTCCCTTCTTCTAACAATGAAGGAATGTCAGACTGCCCAAGACCAACCCTTCAAAGTCCCCACCAGATCCCAAGCCTTTTCTCCTACTCAGCATCTTTGAACAATTTTCCCCATACTCCTGCTTTGCTAATCTTCTCTGTCTTCAGAATTATAGTCATCAACATACAAACATGCTGCTACCTTTCCAATCTCCACCTCACTTCTTAAATCTACATTCTATTATCCTGCTTCCTTTTTGGAAAAAACCTCTTGAAAGGACTGTCTGTGATAGCTATCTCCAATCCCTCTCCTCATCTTTCTCTTCAACCAATTTACATTTAAGTTTTTGTCCCTCCTCTGCCCAAATCTGCCCTTTATCAAGGTCATTAATGACCTCCAAGTTGCAAAAGCCAATAATCAATTTTTACACTTTATTGACTTATCAGTGGCACTGACACTGCCTCCTTGATATCTTCAGGATACCAGGCTCCTCTCTTTCATCACCTCACTGGCTGTTCCTCTGCTGGTTATTTCTTAACCTCCCAATATCGCCTGCTTTTTTCTGTCTATGACCACTCCCTTGATGATCTCCAGTCTCGGATTTTAAATACCTATACCACCTATATGATAAATAGCCTCAAATCTGTATCTGCAGTCCAACTTGCAGATACATGCCTACTTGTGTAACTAATAAACTCTCAAATTTCACATGTTCCAGCATGTTCCAACTCTTACGCTTTCCTGACAAATCTTTTCCTCATAGTCTTCCCTACCTCAATTAATTGGCAATTCCATCCTATTTCTAGACCAGAAATCCTGGCTCTTCCTTGATTCTTCTCTTTCTCCCACTGCACATGTGATCTGTCAGCAATTCTTGTCAGCTGTACCTTCAATCTATATCCAGAATTGAACGTCATCATATGACCTTCATTGCTACACCGTGATCCAAACAACCATCACCTCTTGCCTGGACATGGTAATTAAGTACTAATAGGTTTCACACATCTGCCCTTGCACCCCTACTATCTATTTTCCACACAGTGGCTAGAGTGACTTTGGAAAAATTAAGGTAAATCATATCACTCTTAAACCTTTCAATAGTTTTTCATCTCACGAGAATAAAACTCAAGGTGTTTTCTATGAGCTATAAGGTCCTACACATTTTAGCATGCCATTGTGTCTCTGAACTACTCTGTTCAGTCACATGACCTCCTGGCTGGCCTTAGGAATCGGGCATCTTTTTACCTCTAGACTTTGCACTTGTTGTTCTCATTGCCTAGAATTCCTCTCTAGATATTTACAAGTCAACCCCTGACCTTCTTCACATTTTGCTCCAATGCTACCTTCTCAGGGAAGACCTCCCTGGCCACTTCCCATTCACTTCCCCTGCTTTATTTTTCTCCTTAGCCTTTATCACTACTTATGTATTTTACCTAGCTATCTTGTTTATTGTCTCTCTCTTCCACTAGCACATAAATTCAATGAGGGCAGGATTTTTGCTGGTTTTCACTGATATATCTCCAATACTAAAACAGTGCCTAGAACATAGTGGGAATATAACTGCCACACAGTTGGTGCTCAATAAATAGTTTTGTTTTTCTTATCTTTCTTCCTGTTGAGTCACTACTAAGATTTGAAAGCATATCAGCAACAATGCAGCAACCAAAAAAAAAAAACACTCAATGCCTATATTCACTTATTATATGTGACAAAAATAATCTGCTACAAGATACAAGAGATGTTCTTAAATATAAATTAAATATAAATATTTACCTTAGTAAAATCATTCTTCAAAGTTTCTAAACAATCCTGAGAGGACATTTTTCTCCTCTGCTCTGGGACTAGAGACTTCACTTTAGATGGGGACACTAAAACAGCTCCACCTGGAAAAATGCAGAAGACAGGTTTCAACTAAACTATCTTATCATTTAGAAAATGTAGGGAAATGAGAACTGCATAGTGTTTGCCTATTACCAACAGCTGGAGTAGTAAGATCATGATGAGTCCGTTGGATTCCACCAAGTTCTCTCAGCTTTGGAGTAGGAAGCCTACCTCCATTTCCTGAGCATACAGAAGAACCCGACCTACAAATTGGAACAATCTATTAGGAAGCATTTTCTCTGGAAAATATGATTTTAAAAATACTATACCAGCATTGTGCAACAACAAAATACAAAACGTAAGAGAAGGCCATTTTGTTTCTGAAAAAATAACAAGTCCATATGCAGTTAAAAGGACTGAATACTAGAAAAGGGTGGGGGAATCACTGCAAGTCAGCAACAACACAGCTGAGAACTCTTCAATTAAATCAGGCTCCAGGCCCCACACTAGCTGCAACACCCACAAAGGAACAAGGGCTTTGGACTAAAGACAAAAAGCACCACTACCAATGGTGCAGAACCAATCCCCTAAACAATTTTCATGTAAAACAACAGGAATTAGCACATTTCAGAAATCACTTTTTTAAAAATTCTATAAAACATTATCCTTTCTTTTTTTTTTTTTTTTGGTAGTACCATCAGATATTAGTTAACATGCACTTTTTACCTAAAACAAAAAAGTCGTTCTTCCAGGCACATTTGCTAATATTACAAATCATAACTCCAGGACACAAATAAAAATAATCCTACTTTTTCCACAAAGAGTCCAGAGTTTTAAGTGTTCAATTACCAATTAGTGGTGACTAAAATATCTGAGTGAATCAAATTATAAACAACATAGCAGTGAATACTTGGTGACATTAAAGTAAAATCTGCTTTTTATTAGTCACAGATTTAAAATATATTTTAAATTTATAGTATATTTATATTTATTTTATAGTATACATAAAGTATATTTTTATATTTATTATACTTAGTAACAAATCAAATACATATTAGTCATGTATAATATTCTATACATTGATAAATTTAAAACTCTCACCCTTCTTTTATCTTGTCTGCCTTAGATGCCTCGTGCACTTCCATCTTCTCTGGCTCTCCCATATATACCTGTTTGTCTCTTCCCCTTTCCTCTTCCTGTTCTTTCTCCCCGCTGGGCTGTTTCTCTATGTCTTCACCAGTATTCCCTGCGTCCCAAGCCAGCCGCCTTCTAACAGGCATGGTGGGAGCATCTGACATGCCCATTTCCTCCATGGTATTTTTCTGGGGCTGTTCTTCCAAGATGTCTCTTTTTTCTTCTGGTTTTGTACCAGGACACTTCTGCAAAGTCTTATGACCTGTAGGATCTCTGTATAACAAAATAAGCTTTGTTTTAAATTCGAGTAACTTGAGCTTTCCAGTTAATACTAATTATATTGAGCTCATCATTTCCTTCCACTGTTTACAGCTATATGTTTTCCACAAATATTGCCTTGTCTAGGTATTGAACAAAAATTTCTAATTAAAAGTTCATTTCATAGAATATAAATGAAAGTTACTATATCTCAAGTTGACTTGCTCAGTTAATAAATTGATGTTACACACAAATTCAAGTATACTTGGGACCAAATACACCAATCCAAATTTTATATTTTAAATTTATCTTTTCAATACATTATTAAAGACTAGATTTTGTGATACATTTTTAAGTCAAATATAGTACAATTCAAAATTATAGATTAATTTGGTGTACATGATTATATTGATATACTGTAATAACTAAAAACTATTTTATTTACTATAAATCAAAATGTAGTTTCTCTGGCAAACAATTAAATCATGTTCATTTTAAAACCTAAAACAAAGAATTCTTCCATGATATCAGGGGCCAATCTCCATAGTAGCCACAAAATCCATTAAAGAATGATAATGAACATGTATTAATAGATTTATATTGTCTTGAGTTTTTATTGTTGTTGCCTCTTTCTTTTTTATAATTTCTAAAGTCCTTTTACATCTGACATATAATCATTCTAATTCTGCTATAAATTATGACAAAGAATATTATATAATCCAGCCTTCCAGAATTACATTATGTATTATTTATATGCAAATACTTAAATCAAGTATGTGTGTATATATATATGTATGTGTATATATGTGTGTATGTGTATGTATAGATATGTATGTGTATAGATCTTTGTTTTTACACAGAAAATAACTTTAAAATAATGAAATAAGTGGGACATTTTTTCATTTGACCAAAAGATAAATTTTGAGTAGGCATGTCATCTTCCTATATCACTCCATGATTCATATAAGCTACAACATACTTTTTCAACAACCACAAAGAAATCTCACCCTGCAAGATCTAAGGCTTTGATATTGCTACTAATGGTTCCCTCCGAGCTTGTGGTTGAGGAGACATCCCAACAGCAGTTTTTATCAGACAGAATCTGATTCAGGTGGTCCCGAGAAAAATGTGTTCCCTGAATTCGTTTCCTATAAAACTCAGCCTTCTCTCGGAGTTCTTTAACCTATGCAGGAGATTCAGACAACATCCATTATAGTAAATGCTGCTTTATAAATATCACAAAGTAGCAAAACACTGCACAAATACAGTCAGGGACCAAGGAGAAAAGAAGGTGAAAATAGCCACATACAGTCATCAGACTATTGCACTTAAGCAAAAATTAAAATGATCAAGCTAAAGCATGATGCAGGTATTTTATTTCAGACCAGCAGGCAAGGAGAAATTTTTAGGAGCTAAGAAAAATATTGACAACTACTTTTTATTCCAACAAATTAGACAAGGATTTGATGCATTATTACAGTTTTAAAAAACTCAAAAGCAACCAACCTCTGCATACCACATGGCATTTAGAGAACCCTAGGGGAGGAATACAGAAACATACTTAATGATAGGTTAGTGCCATAACTGAATATTAATGAAATAATGAATAATAATGAAACACTGTACTCATTATTCCTCCTTATAAATATACACCAAACTTTTCAAACAGTGTTTATTAATATTTTTAGTAATAATTAATTCAGTTACTTAGTATTACCTTGAAAACCAGTCACATTCTTGCATGGCTGGGATACTATTGGTGGCAAGTAATCTGATGCCTATTCCCATCTCCCCACCTCTAGAAAAGTACTTAAATGCCATAAATTCCCATCCTGGCTTTATTTACATCTTTATATGCTACTACTATAGAAGACCCCACTGAGAGAGTTGTGAGTTTCCCTCTCCAAATCCCTCAATTCCCTTAAAATCAGCAATCTCAACTTTTTTAAAAAGGTACTAAGTATACAATTAAAAAGAAATTCCACCACATGATGTACCACCATGAGAATGGGAATGGGATTAATTTGAATAAGTTATACTCCATGTATGGATAATATGTCAAAATATACTCTACTGTCATATATACCTAAAAAGAATTTAAAAAAAAAAAAAGAAATTCCAACAAAATAATAATTATAATATATTCAACAAGATGACAAGATATAAAAAGAATGTTAATGTAATTTGAATTCCCTAATATGCAAAATAACATTTTCATATGAAAAGAAGCCTTATACCCATTGGAAATCCTTTTATTTTATACATTATACTGCCACCTGCTGGCTTCACTAAATACAATTGCACAATGTAAAAAAATAAATACATAGAAGCTTTACCCTCAAAATTTTACTTAAAATCTTTATTTATTCTTGAAAAAACTACAACATTTTTTTAATCATAAAAGTAGACCATTAGCATTAAAAGGCTGTCAGGATATTGTGATAGAAATGTTTTCATTTCACTTAGAGGCAAAAAAAAAAAAAAAGAATGAAACTTGGCAATGCAAAAGCACTGAAGAAACATAGCCTCAGTTTCTTAACAAGACACTCTTTTGAAAGCAAAGAGATTGAAAGTGTTACATTTCTAAGGAAATAGACAAAGCAAAAAACAGCACCTATGGCATAAGAAGCCACATGATCCCTGCAAAGCCCTAATGCTCTGAGCTGAACCTGAAAAAGAATCCTAAAGGAGAATTTTAAAAATTGTTTTCTTCACTGCCCCCCAAAAATCCAAGTATGCTCATTTTTCATTTCTTTCAACTCCTGCACTTTAAAGAAAATATCTTGTAGGGGGTTTGTAATTAATAGACAGAACTGAAACACATGGGTTGTCTGTTGAATGTCTAACCAGTGTATCTGAATGCACAGCAACCGTGTTATACAGTGCCTTGACATACTCCTGATTGTTATGTCTAAGAAATACATTCCACATGCTTCATGCCCTCTCTATTACCTACACAAAGTCTACATGCTTTAGTATCACTTCCTGCTCTAGTGTTCTCAAAGACCTCTTCCATTAACCTATGAACTCCTTGAGTGAGGGGGAAAGTAGCATTTAAGCACTGATTTCATCATAACCTGTTCGAGTATGGATGAGAAGTAGGCCTGAGCTGCAGAGCTAACAGTCAGAGATAAGCAAGAAACTCCCTTGTACTCAATGGGTTTCTAGTCCAATAAAGGAGGCCAACCTGTACCTAAATATTCTAATATTGGCAAGTCTATGTCATAATAAACCAGTGAGCTATAAACTTAAGAAGAGGTTCAAGAGGGGGTCCAATCAGTACCACCACGTGTGAAAGAGTGGAAGGAGCAGTAGAGGAGGCTGCATTCTCTCCATGTGGAAGCAGCTTATTGCTTGTTCAATGAGATAATGGATGAAGAGCCCCTCTATGTACACAGTGATCCAGTTTTGATACCAATCATATTTAGAAAGGAAGGAGAGGAGATAGTTTATAGAAATTCTGTAAAGTTTTAGTTTCCCATTTTTACTGACATTTAAAATTTGATGCATTAAATTTTCTTTATTAGCAATCTTTATGAATAATCTCAGTGCTGATGCTGTTTTCACAAATACAATCCTTTAAACTTCCAGAATTCTAAAACTGAGAAGTTAGGAGGTTGACATCTCCCAAAGTAAAGTGTTCTACTAGAAAGAGAAAACAAAATCAATAATGTAGATTAAGAACGACCCCTACAACCACAACCAGAACCACTAAAAAGAAAAGATATAGGGGCTGGGATGTGGTTCAAGCGCGTATCGCGCTCGCCTGGCATGCATGCGGCCCGGGTTCGATCCTCAGCACCACATACAAACAAAGATGTTGTGTCTGCCGAAAACTAATAAATAAGTATTAAAAAATTAAAAAAAAAAGATATAAACCATTCCCAACCTAAAACAATATACAAAGATCTTTCTGGGTTAAGTAATGCCATCAGATTATATGATATAAATGCTATAAGTAGGATGTTTTCATTATTTAATTACTTTTTCCAAACTAAGCATTAAATTAAGTCATTTGAAGTTTATATTCAGAAAAATCAAATTCAGAAAACTGGAGGGAAAAAATCTTTTTTCTCAAAAATCATGCCTCAGTTGGGTGCAGTGGCGCACACCTGTAATCCCAGCAGCTCAAAAAGCTGACCTGAACAACTTAACATGACCCTATCTCAAAATAAAAAAATAAAAATAAAAATAAATCATGCCTCCAAAAAGAGGAGTCACTTTATATCTAGTCCTTACATCTGTCAAATTATGACTCTTGAATGTGGGACTTTATCTTCAAAGTCCTTCTTGTCCTATTCTAATGTGTCCTCACATTACCTCAACCAATGTTTGCTAACCAAAAGATCACCGAACAATCGAGCAAAAAATAAATTTAACACAATTCAGTAATTTTTCTGAGGGCAAGGATCTAACAATTGCCACTCTTGGTTGTTATTATTTCTCTTAGCTGTTATTAAAAATAATCTTTTAAATAAGTACTTCATAAAACAACTGTATAAGTGATTATATTACAGAGATGACAAACATAAAACACCTGACAAAGCCTACCACTAAGGTATTAAGTGAAGAGGTACTTGGGACTTAGGACAAAACACCCAGTGACTTGATGATAAATACCACGTTTCCACAATATAAAAGAAAATGAAGATGATATGTGGACTTGAAAACTGTAACATGACTCAAAAAGTGACAATATTTTCATGATAAAGGTCACTTATGTCAAAGTGCATTCAAAGAATATGAATGGTGCATTAAATATTAGGAAGGGAAGTGACAGAGAACCTTATATTTAGGCACGTCATTATCAGCCACATACAGTAAATATCTTTGGGTGGTGGGGAGGGATCTAAGATTTTAAATAAAATATGGCCTACATTAAATGTCTATAACCTGGTTAACAAAAACTTACTAATATCACTGACCACTAACTTATTAGAGAAAATTTTTAATTCCTTTCAAATTCCAATTTACTTTTAAAAATTATTTTTCTCAAAGAACTTAAGACAAACTATGCTTCTAGTTTAAATATTTACAAATAGCAATAGCAATTAATAAATCAAACTGTTGATTACAAGATATCACAACAGGAAACCTTGAAAATAACATTAAATTTACAACAAAGTTCCCTTCAATCATGGAAATATCAGGAATTTTATCTTTTCAAGACTTCAACATAACAATCCTCTCAGTCCATTAAATGTTTAGACATGAGGCCTAAATACCAATTCATCTTAGTGTAAAGATGTCTCAGAGACTAGGAGATAATCTTTCCAAAACAAGAGCTTCTCACCATCTCCCTCTAGTAAAGTGCCCAAGCATGACAGGTCAGCAGCCAACCCTATTGTAGTGGCCACCTCAGTGACCATATGTGTTCTGCCTGTGTCCTTGACTTTTCCCCTGGCCCCATCACAGAGCACAGAATTCCTTGCCAAGATCTGGGACACTCATAAACAGCTCAAGAGTTTAGCTGAAGGAAGTATTATGATAAGTGAAATAAGCTAAACTCTGAAAGTCAAAGGTCAATAAGTACTTTATAAAATAATTTTATGTGTTTTATCTCATGTGGAAGTTAGAGCAAAAAAATAAAAGCAGCGAGTGGTAGGTGGGGCAGGAGAGGGGGATCTCATGAAAATGGAAAGGAGACCAGTAGAATAGAGGAAGGGAACCAGTAAGAGGGAGGAAAGGAGAGAGAGGGAGGAATTGGGAAACAAAACTGACCAAATTGCATTGTTATATTGTATACACATACAAATATGTAAAAACAAATCCCACTATTCTGTACAATTAGAATGCACCAACAAAAGAAGATAATAAAAAATACAACAATAAAAAATAATTTAGTTGCCTTGATTCTTCTTCCATCAGGGCTGCTTTTGATGCTCAACTTTTTAATTTGATTTCACTAGGGTGAACAGATGAATGCTGCCCCAGATAAAATCTGGGACAGCTGGAGCTTTGTGTCTTACTCTGCCTATACTACCACTGAGCCATGATCAGGTAGAAAAGCACCAAGAGCAACCATGGTAGAAGATTAATCAAGTAACTCCTAGAACTAATCAAAGCCCAGAAGAGGCCAAGAAATGAGTCTGGGAGCTGCCAGTTTAAAGAACCAGAAGCTCAAAGTGCCAGCACCTACACTAGGAGTGAAGCTCTCTCTTTAGAATGTTGGGGGAAGAAGAATGTTCACCAATATCTAACAAAAAATGTTTTAATTTAGTTTATGCACACAGAAAAGGAAGGAAAAAAAAACTTTCAAGATATGGTTTTACAGATACTAATTAAATGATAACTAGAAGTGCGCCTTTGCTTATCCTTTGCCTATTAGAAACGCCAGACAAGCAACAATTCTCAGTTTTAAGGAATAATTACCCTTTCCTCAGACCTATCTTTAGATCCCCAAAGTTTCTTTCTCCCTTATATCAGGGTACCCCAACACTAAAACTCAAACTTCTAAGAACTCAGGCTTCACCTTCCTTTTGCCTAGAGACAGTAATGGTACATACACACTGACTGGAGGTTTGAATGTCATAAAAGAATCAAATCTCTGGTGCTACAATTCTGTAAATTGAATTTATTAAAATAATCAAATGTTTTATTGCAAAAAAAATTTTACCTTTAAACAGGTTAATAATAAATATTAATCTCTAGCAAGACTTTTGTTATAAAAATAGTAAACACATTGATAAATTATATTCTAATGCATACAGTTTGAAGTTCCTGATATTTTTAGTGCTATACTCTAAAAGTATGCTACAGTGCATCTTTAAGTCTCTGTTATTAAAACTCATTATGAAATTAAATTGGTACACAGACAGAAAGCAAAGGAGAAATTACATACTCACCTGATCTGGCACATTTTCCTTCGCACATGTCCAAGCTCCACCTTTATATAAATACTGAGCTGGGCTCAGAAATTTTGCTTTATACTCAGAATTCACCTTCCTAACAGAGAGGAAATGAAGGTAAATATTCCACTACATTCACCATCTAAATACCATGATATTTTTCTAAAATACATACCCAAGCCTCTGATGTCTCCAAGGAGCAAGCTTCTTTTTAGGCTGGTTTGAGTCCTTCGATGCCATCTCTGCTTCTAATTTTAAAAGATCATCTGTTTTATTACACTAAAATGGAAATAATTTAAGATTTTATGCTTCAAATATATTATAAAGTAAAAACACAGATGTTATAAAGTTAAGCATGGATATTATATTCCATTTCTGTTTTTAGAAGCAGGCTTTAAACACTAAAGATAACAGAAGTCATAACAAATCAACAAGTTTTGAAACCAATACATCTAGTTAGTTTCAGGGAATATAACACAGGATATGGTTTCATTTTCTAACGAGAAACAATTTAGACCCTTTGCTAGGGAAGATTAACAAATACACATCTAAATAATCGAACTTAATGTTACTACATATTGAAGAGTGATTGCAGATTTCTTTGACGTTCTAGATTCACATTTAATTGTTACAGTAATTAAATGTAAATTCTGATGAATAAGTTACCACAATGCTTTACTGAGTAACTTAACATTTTTCCCAAAGAATGTCACAGTTAAAAAAAAAAAATCCAAATACATACACACATATAATTTTACTTTTAGTCACACACTTATTATAGAAACCATAAAGTATCAGGTTATCAACATTACAGGAGACTCAAAAATAACATTTATATTTCATTTTCCTGTCATTTATGATTTTAGTCTGATGCTGTTACTTAAAATGGGTATAATTTCACATACTGAAGCAAATGTTATACTGTGTATAACTGTTATATTGTGTATAAGTGATGTGAATTATACTAGTTATAACTTAGCATGCTAAGGTTTTGGTTTAAAACATATGTGTATGTGTTTCTGTTTAATTTCTATTACTTAATTTACAATATGTGTTTATTTTTCCTGTTATACTTACAGCTTACATTACTGTAAGGTCAATCATTTGATATCAGATAGTATACTTACCTGCTGTATTGCTAAGAGTTTGTCACACTACATTATTTTTTGGGGTAGGGGGTGCTAGCAACTGAACTCTGGGACACTCGACCACTGAGCCACATCCCCACCCCGATTTTGTATTTTATTTAGAGACAGGGTCTCACTGAATTACTTAGTGCCTTGCTTTTGCTGAGGCTGGCTTTGAACTTGAGATACTCCTGCCTCAGTCTCCCTAGTCCCTGGGATTACCAGTGTGCACCACCGAACCCAGCCATATTATTTTTAATTACTTATATATATATATATGTGTCCCACTAGCCTAGGAGCTGCTTGGGACTTGGTGTGTTTGTCATCCCTGTAGTCTCTGCACTGACCCAGTGCCTGGCTCCAAGTAAGTACTTGATGAGCATCTGACATATGATGAGCATCTGACATATGATGAACAAATAAATAAATACACTTGCAAAGAAAAGAAAGAAGGGATCTAATCATGGGGATTTGTTTGTTTGAAGGTTAAGAATCAATGAATACCTTCTTTTCAGGAGATACTGTTTCAAGATTTTCGTTTTCTTTCAAATCGTTTCTTAATTTTGGTTCTTTCACTGGAGATAAACCTTTGAAATTTCTTTTGTATTCAGTTTCATGGACAATTGAATTACCTTTGAATTGTGGAACAAATTGGGCTTTATTGTGGAAACCCTTAAAACAAAAATTAGTTTAGTTTAGATTTTTTTGTCAGTTAATACAGAACTTAGGTCTTTGCTTTTTAAAAAAAAATCATATATAAAGTTGAATTATAGGATTAAAAAAAGCAAAATTATATATGACTGTCATTTCACTTCATATGTCTAATCCAAAGGTCAAATTTCCATATTCTTAATTACATTTTAAATAATAGTAACTGTAATCAAAATAATGCTTAAGACAAAATAAGTAATAAACCACACTTGTGTTTTATCTTTTCTTCCCATTTACCTACCTCCAACCTCCCGTAAGTAAAATAGAAATATTTGAATTATATAAATAAAATTGTAATTGTTTTTGTACAAGTTTTGTCCCTCCTTTACATAAATTTTCTCTTCTTATAACAATATAAAATTCTTAATATTTTGAATACCAGATGTGTTTGATTGAGTTTTTCCATTGCTTACTTATTTTTACCTTTTTCGTTAAGCAAGAAAAAAATTCGGGAAATTACATTAAATGTTTCATTTTATCCTTAATGTTTTATCATATGGTTTCAATCTTATGGTATATAACCACTGATTACAAGGAAGTCAAATGGAATAAGTAGGAGTTCAAGTAAGTTCTACAGTACTGTTACTTTAAAATGCTGAACAGCACATCTTCATTCAGATCTAATCCAAGCAGTACGCCTTTTTTAATACAAGACAACCTCAAGGACTTTTCAGCCGAAAACTGTTCTGACTCCTTTACATATTTAATATAAGACATCCTTTCAGAGGACAGGTGTCTGATAAAATAGAACTGAATAGCTCTATTAGAGGTTCCATCAACAAATAATGAAAGCTTATCATAGAGCTCTTCAAGTCACAGACCCTGAAACTGATATGCTTTTGACTTACAAAGAACATTTGCTTCCAAAAGAATTCTTTAAAACCCTCACTAACGAAAGTAATAAGATTACTAGTGAAGATATTGCTATTGATTTATTTCATGTTGTACTTTTGATACTATAAAAATAACATTTCTACACAATGCGTTCGCTAACATGTAAAACTTGTCAATATGGTTCTGATTTGAATCAACTTTAGTTTATGCCTCAAATATTCCATGAAAACTGAACAATTACAATTTTCAGATCATAAAGTAGTTTTCTTAGGTACTTAAAATCCAAGAATATCTGTGAACAAGCAGAAGAAGTACTAAACCTATTTATTAGGTTAATATGTTCTTAAAATGTTATAAGTTTCAATAAGCCCAAAACTGCCACAATGTATGCAGTCACTGGTATTATTATTTTAGTGTAAGATGAATGACACTGTTGTCCTGCAGAATCCAACTATCCTCTCCTCTTAATTTTTAGAGGTATATAAAGTATACAAGTGAATGTTGCAGTACAGGAAAAAATGAATGTGAGGGGGTGTGAAACAGTGTGTGTATTTAATCAAGACAAACACAAAGACCAGGAAAAAGAAAAGGCTAAGTTTTCAAGGGTCCTGGAAGTAGAGCTATTTCCTACCTAGGCCTGGAAGTATGGTTAAGAAAATAAACAAGGGTTCAGATCCTAAGAAATATCTAGAAGATGATAGCAATAAAACAGCAGAATATCTAAAATTGTGCAAGAGTATAATGAAATCTAATATCACATTTTGAATTTTATAAACTGTCAATTATTATTATTATTCACCTGATACAAAAACAAAATTACATATCTTGTGTTACTTTAGTGATTTTATATTTATTAAAATATATATCCGAACTAGTTATGTCTTTCTTAAAAGACAGAAAAATGCAAAAATATTAGTCAACTAAGCATAGCATTTTAGAATAAAATCAACGTAATGAAATTTTTTAGTAAAAAAATCTCTTAGCATGCAAAAACTTTCCAGTTCCCCAAGTTTTCATTACCCTGTCTCATAATTAGTGTACGTGATGGATCTGGCAACAATGATCATCAGTAGCCTAGGACAGTATAATATTACTGCTATAAATCATAAGTAGTAAGAGGATTTTAGCAAAACTCTCATTCTGTTTTCTAGAACCTACCTCAGGGCCTACATAAGTACCAAATTTCTTTTGGCTTTTAATTCTATGTAAATTTACATCACTACATCAGATGATGATACTTAAAAATGTATTATATCCTTTAAACTACCTCATTGGCTGCAAACACTGGAACAGTTTCTTTAGAGGTCTTCCAAACAAACTGCCTTTGATATTCAGAATTTCTCAAGGCATTATGTGAAGGAACAACTGTCAATCCAGCTTTCTTACGTAGAAGTCTATCCACCTGTTAGAAGAGAAAAAAAAAATCACTCAAAGCCGTTAAAAATTTGTACTCAAACTTTCTTTTCAATTGTGCTTAGAAACACAAAAAAGAAATCTATCCTCTTTAACAAGTTTTTAGGGCTACGTCACAGCATTACTAACTATATGCACATTATTGTGCAGCAAACTTTAAAACTTTTAAATGATCTTTAAACTGTTAAACTATTTCAAATTCCACTCTTAATACTGTCAATGGACTATTATGCACCCCAGAAAAAGGCAGCATCTCTCAGTCCCTTCCTACCAATCACTCATAATTAAATCTATTACAAAAAAAAAAAAGTACCTTTTCTAATCCACACATTATTTATATGGACACCCACTTCCCCTGCCCACCAGACTCACACATCACCTTCCTTGATTCCCCTGCACCCCTAGTTTTCTCAACAAGCCATGGATTCTTCTCTAGCACTCTGAAGTGCCTCTGCAGAGTTCCAGTCAGTGGTGGACATGAAACAAGGAAGGAGCCATGGATTGAAGGCAATGAGATCCCACAAAGGAGCCCCTGAGCTTCTGCTTATGTGCTCACAGGGAACAGTGGCAGGCCAGCTGTGACAAAAGAGAACAGAACTGCAAGATCTTTAACAGCCAGCCAGAACTCTCCTTCCTTTTGCATTTGGTCAACTGAGATTCTGTTTGTTTTCTTGCTGGTATACAATAAGAAACTGAAATGGGGATGGGTAGAAGTCAGCTCAGTACCTCTGCCAGAAGTAATGGCCTACTCCCCTTTCTGTCTCAACTTGATCTCTCCCTTAGGACTCAGGTGCCAATTTTGATGACTAAAATCCAGAGGCAGGCTGTTCACCCAATGAAGGCCTATCCTAGTAAAACCAATTCAAAATATCAAGTATGAAGAATAGAACCATTCATACTAACTGAAGTCAACAGCCTCTTTATCAACTATACCACAGACAAAAAACAAGGGAAAATTTTTAAACACAAAATGTAATATTAGTAAAGTGATGTTAAAACCAATAAAGAATTCTAGGCTTCTGAAAAAAAAGCACAATGAATATGCCTACCCCATCATCTACATTTTCGGAAAGAAGCTTGGTAGAATGTTCCAGTTCCACATTTTCATTAACCGATACATGGTTTGCTATTACATCCTCGTTCTTTTCCACAGCACATGAAGCTCCTTCAGATCTGGAGTCTGCAGAATGAGATCTGGTTCTCTTGGGAACCCTGGAGCCCTCTAGTGAGAGAACTTTTTCTTGGTTTACATTGTTTTGTTTCATCTCTTGTGATTTTGGTATTTCTGGGACTTTAGGTTCTGGTGATACAATCACATCATTCTTTGAGATAGCTCCATTCCACTCCAGAGATTTTGAAACCTGTGTGTCATGGTAAGGGACTCTTCTTTTGGAAATAAAACTTGGCTCTTTGGTGATCCCTACAAAAAACAGTATACAAAAATAGCTACCAAACCACAAAGTTACAAAGAAAACTCTTAATAATACCTATGAAAGAAGAAATGGAATTTAAAATTCAGTTAGAGATATATATACATATACACACAATTTCCTTCAGAATCAGGATATAAAGCTAAGTATATTTTTCAACATAAAATATTTAATTTTGCTTTATCAAAGTATTAAAAGCTTAACCATAACCAAAAATTAAAAATTGGGGTCACAATGCTCAGGTTATCTTTACACAAGTCACTAGAATCGAAAGGTGAACAGATTGGCAAGCCAGCGAGGACATGTTGCCTCCGTCTCTAATTACTTTCCTGTTCTACTTAATAGGACAATGGGCCCTGGTCTGTCAAAATTTGGAACTCTGCACAAAGCTTCTCTTATGCAGAGCAGACCCAAATGAGAAGGGATGGAATGTCATTATGCTGGATCGTGGTTCTACTTTTGCCTTGATTTCCTGAGCAGCAGAAATAATGAATCCTTTCAACGAGAGTTAAGATATGACTTCTCTATACTTCTGTCTGGCAAGCAAATGTCCAGAAACTTCACCATCTACTGAGGTAAAAGAAGCTCTGTAAATGACAGCACTGAGACACTGGCCTAGTTTGGAGTCATTCTTTAAAGAGAAAGAAGACTGCTGCAGAGAGGGGAAGAGGGTGAAGATCAGAAATGGAAGAAAAAGGAAGGCAGACAGAGAATTGGTGACAAGATAAAACCAAGAGCTCCATCACCACTATCACAAATGTGTTAGCTGTCAACCCAGAGTTCCTGTCCTTACCAGCTTCTCTAGACCAATGGCCTCCAAATGGATAAGGTTAAGACTTCCCAGGGGAATAAACAGAAATGAACACCTTCCAGATCCTCATCCAATCCATATGTGCTCTTGCTTTACACTGATCTATGCCAAGAGCTGCATCTGCCACCTGCAGTTCCATTCCCACTGCCCCTTTGATAATCACCCTATTCCTACTTTACAAAAGACAGACATGCCTCACAACCCACTGAAACTTACTATGATGCATCACCCCCCGGTATAACAAAATCTCAAGGGTGGGGAGACAAGGGGACAATCAAGAAAGCATAATTCCCAGGGGAGAATAGATAACAGGAAAAGCACAGGCAGACTTGAAATAACAAATGAATGGCATCTTATTAAATACACTTTCACATCTTTTCCATCCACCTATCTTAGAATTAAAATTCAGACACATGAGAAGGATGTCATGTGAAATTAACTTTTGGTTCATTAACTTTGAACCAAAAGATAGTTAATTTTTTTTTCTCACAGGAAATACCTAGTTTGGCTGGTCAGTTTGCCAGTGAGAAATGACTTTGTCAATTACATAAGGAATATTTTCCATAAATTGAATGAGCTAAGTTGGCAGCCCCATGTTTTAACAAAATATACGTAAAGCATCTATTCAATATCCAATATGCCAGAAAGTACTTTCCTATAAACTATTTATAAAAAACATAAATAAAAATAAATGAATATCAATTTAAAAATGTATGAGAGTGGATAGCAAGATTTTCTAAATTCTTTTAGGAAGTATGAAAGCAAAAAAATTTGAAGAACACTGCCTTAGACTTCTGTTTTAATACAAAGTCAGGATTTGGGTAGGTACACCACATGTAAAGGGAAGATTCTCAAGTAGACTGACCCTTGTCTCCCAGAGCCAGCAAATCCCAGGGTAATAAACACAGAATGTTAAAAGAATGTACATTCAGTCCTATGCAAAACTACCACTGTTCCCTGCTAACCTCCCACCTCCATTTCTGAGCTCTGGCTTCACCCTTTGCCCTTACTTAAAATTTCCATTGACATTCCCCCCCCCCCCCCAGACCATTCCTTCCTTTTAAACATACATTGTTCAAAAGTGGCTTTGTTCCCAGGGTCTCCTTTTATCACTGTCCCTTAAAATGTAGTTGATCTAAGTTAAAATATTATGGGAGCAACTATCTGGCTAAAAATTGTTAACGCTCTTTTCATATCCCTCTGGGCCTTCGGCAGGATATCTACACTTTAAGATTTATTTTGCATTCTTAATATAATGGCACCTTGAAAATGTGGAATTTCTGGTCACTTGGAAAGAGAAGATTATGAGCAGAAGGGTATTCCCAACACCCTCCCAGGGAAGCAAGGGACACCCAAGTCTCTGAAGTCATGTTGGGATAAGCATCCTGATACTTCAGAAGGAATCCTAAAATAGCCACACACTGTAGCCACTCTTCCTTTGTTCCCCAAACCTAATCCTGGAAACACTCCCCATTTTCAATAACTTCCCAACCTTTTTACTCTGCTCATAGGTCTTTCCTTTTCCTGTTTTAAAATCTAACATTTAAGGAACTTAGATACCGCACATCAGTCGTTCTCACAAGTCATCCATGAGGTACCAAGCACTGATCTGTGCATATACACATGCCCTAATAAGCAACATCTCATTTAATACCTTACAACAATCCTATGCTGTGGATTAAATCTCACTTGGCAAAATGCAGATTTAAATTTAAGTTTATTCATTCATTCAAAAATCAGTTTTAATAAGTAGTCGAGTATTCCAAGGCCCTGAGTTAGGTATTGAGAAGAAACAAGAAGACAGAGCCCTGCTCTCAGAGATATTACACTCTAGTGAGGGAGAAATTAAACAGGGAGATACAGTAAAGTCAGTCTGTCTCTTTTCTATCATGCCTGGGAAAATTGGTCAGGACTCAGAATTCCCTAGGATATGGGGAGGCAGTGTGTGTAATAAGAATGTGACCTTCTGAGTTCATGGGCTCTAAACAAAACAGACTTGATTCCAAATCATGGCTCTGCCATTTACTGTGAACCTGAGGCAAGCCACTTAATCTACACTTCCATTCCTCAAGATTTTGGGAGTGTTCTTCCCCAGGCTAATCCCCTCTCAGTTTTCCCAGTTCAAATGTCACCTCCTTAGAAAAGTCTTCCCCAACTATCAAATCTAAAATGTTTTCCTTCCAATCCACCTGTCTCCCATGTTATCTATCTCACATTCCTACTATTTTATATATAACCTGAAATTTCTGTTTATTTATTGAACTGCTTATTATCTCTATAATTAAGGAACTTTGGTTCAGTGATATAACCCTAGATACTGGGATAGTCTGGGGCCATGGTAAACAAATATTTAAATGTATATTTATTTATTTATTTTAAATATATTTATTTCTTTGTTTTATTTTTATGTGGTACTGAGGATCGAACTCAGGGCCTTACATGTGTGAGGCAAGATCTCTGCCACTGAGCCACAATGCCAGCCGTAAATGTTTATTTAACAAATATTCGATGAATATTCATCGAATATTTGTTAAATAAATGAATGAGTTAATCAGACCATCTGGATTTTGAATAAATCATTTTGTAAACTAAGTCCAAGGTTTACTAAAGTTACAATGGCTACTAGTTTGATCAACTTACCTAGTTGATCTGATCTAAGTCCAGCCCATGGGTATCTTCGTCCCACCGAGGCATTATAGGAATCTGTCAAATATGACTTTTTCCACAGAAAGTTTCTCTGGTATTCACTCAGTCCCTGTAATGTAAAGTACAATTTGAGTGTAGTGCAATTAATGAAAGTTGATTTAAGGCACACATCAATAAAAAACAACTTCCAAAACTCCGAAGAGTTGAAAGACTCAAGATCGATAATTAAACACAGACAAGCTCCTTAATAATAGCTAATGTTCACCCCAGCCCTGTGCTAAAGAGTTCATGTGTTATATCCTTTAATCCTCACAACCACTTGAGGCACAGCTAGTGGGAATCTGAGAGGCTCCCTTTTGGGCTGGTTCTGTGATTCCAAACTGTGAGTGCATCTGATATCCTGTGGCAACCTAACTCCTCATCACTACCAGGCTCCCACCAAGTACACAATATTCTGAATCATGCCTAGAGGCATTTTATATTTTAATAAAATCAACCAAAGAAAGACAAACTTCCTCCCATTCTGGATATGAGACCTTAAAGGAACTACGGTCAGGATTTATGGAACACTGTGGTCACCTATTATGTTGAAGAGTGCTGGTCCCTGAACAGCTACACCGGAACCTTCTAAAAATCCTAAAACAAATGCACAACTATGAAAACTGTGTACTGCCCAAACTCTTTTTACTAATGACCCATTTCTCAACTATTTAGGAGATTCTTACACTTTCAAGTTTTAAAGGAAAGAGGGATTAAACTGTGAGATGGGGTCACAGGTGTCCCAAACTGAAGTCGCTTTTCGTTCCTCCTGTCTCCGCTCCTTGGAATCCCCTCAGATGAATCTGTCCTAATATCATCCAACATCCCCACACACGGTAACTGGGAAGTGTGTGAGAACCATGAAGGGAGTCAGGTAAGAGGAGTGAGCATCCACCAGGGCCGCAGCAGGCAGGCTCGGGGCTGGCCGCCTCCGCGGGGCCAAGATGCGCAGCGCAGGAAACCAGCGCGGCGCCCTCGCCCCGCACCCGCCGGGCCGCGGCTTCCCCCAGCCGCCCTCAGGCTCCGAGACCCCGGCCTCACCTTGAAGCGCACCGGCATGGCTCCGGGCGCTGGAGGCCCCTCCACTCCGACAGTTAACGGGACAAAAAGCCCCGAGGGGGCGGGACGACAACAGTCGGTTCCCTAGCAAAAGCCTAGGCCTGGCGTCCCCGACTACGCGCCGGCGCACTACGCGCCTCCCTCCTGAGACCTGTCGCTCTGCCTTTCCCCGCCCATTTTGAATCTTTAAAAGCAATCAAGACTCGCAGAGTCCCTCGCCGCCTTTACGATTTGACCAATCAGTGCCCGAAAGGGAGCCACCCACCTCCCTTGCCAAATCCAGAGGGCGATTAGATATGGCGGGCGCAAGGCTGGCCAATGAGGCTCTCGGGATCGGGATGGGCGGAGCCCCGCGGGAGCTTCATCCTAGAAGGGCTCGACCGGTCCAGGATCTGGCTCTGCGCAACAATGGGGTGGGGCGTGCTGGTGGGGTTCGGATGCAGCCTATTTCGCTGGTCCCAGGATCTTGACATCATAAAACATGGAGGGGTTTGCTTCGTTCCAATGCACAACGAAACCAAATGTTTTCTAAAACTGAATGTTTTCAGAAAAGATGTTTGGGGCTATTCAGCTGAAAATTATCCACCTTACACTATTGTCACATCAAAAGGATAGGGTCAAAAAATAAATAAAACTTAGGTTAGAATAAATTTTATTGAAATTCAAAAGGTAAATCATTGTCTTCCTCCAGTGATGTTCTTCCTCCCTCAATCTCTGCCTGCCTCCAAAACTACATATATGTACAGTTCTTAGATTTAAATATATATATATATATTAAAGATGCTTGTCTCAACTTCCAAACCTTTATCCTTTTTCTCCCCTTACCCTTTTTTAAAAATAAAATTCCATTTGATTTTAATAGTCTTATGGCCATCATCATCAAGAGATATTTATTGACAGAAACAGTACTGACTCTGAGAATTGAGGAAGAGAGAGATTGCCCAGACAGTTTCATGATGTGTACTTGGGAAGGATGTGCATTTAATAGTCGTCTTGTGGTCAGTTTCTAAATGAGAGGTGTAAATGAAAGGGGTGACAGAAGTTTGAAGCAGGGAGTCAGTCATCCCTGAGGGCAGAAATGATTAGAAAAGGCCTGGGAGGAAATATTCAGACTCAGTCTTGAAGACTAGAAGAACTGCAATAAGTAAAGAGGGAAATAGTATGATCAAAGGGCAGATATCTGGGTACAATGCCCCCAGATTTCTTCCAGGAACAATGAATATAGCACCTTCTACTTTTATCATTTGTTGACAAAAAAAAAAAAAAAAAACTCTCTTAAGTGTTCAAATATTAGCACCAACCTCTCCTTTATGCATTTTCTGCCAAGGCTTGTCTTTCTGATTCCTAATTGATGTCTCCGCTCTTATTCTTCATCACTAAGATACTTAAAAATTCATTTGAAGGAGCCACCTGATATCTGAAACAAGGAGAATATTAAATTAGTCCCTATGCAGCCATGTATCCAGGGGGCCCTTGATTAATGTTAATTGGTGATGACAGCATCTCTGTTGTGCAAATTAAGAATGGCACAAACAAGACACAGTGGAACATAAAATAAAGTCCTCTGCAGGAAGGCAGTCCAGATCTTACAGGGTAGGAAAGCACAACTCCGATTGCACACACAGCTTTGTTACCATGTAATGCTAAGGTGAAATAAGCAAAAGCAAATGTGTAGAATGTAGTTTGTCTCGTAAACAAGCCAGTGATGACTGCAGTAGAGTTCTGCTTCACAGAGAAGGACAGAAAAACCAAATGGCAAGTGGTAAAAATAATTTAGTCACTTCCTAGGTTTGCTAGAAATGTATTACAAGGACTCAAGGAAGAAGAATATTTTAATCTTTATTGTTAAGCAAAAGCCTATCCCCAGTTTATGAGGCAAAGATATAGAAATCAAAAAAAAGGACAACCTCAGTAAAGAAGTTTTGTAATCTGTGTTCTACCAGCTCTTATCTTTTCTGCTGCTGTAGGAAATAGAAACCAACAAATTTCCACGTGTTTTTTGGGATTCCCTAGTAGCTATCTCACATGTGCTTTCAGCTGCAATATACAGCAGCACTGACACTTATTCCAGTAGCCACACATCCCTCAGTGTCACTCTTGTGACCCAGCCATCAGGGCCACATTAGTTTGGTGCTCAGACTTCACTGGGCACAGGTACTCCCTGAACTGTTCAAACCTAGGGGTAATCTGTGACAAAGTGCTTTTCTCCCTCTTTTGTATTACCCTCTTTTAAGTGAGTACAAAAGTGTCCTAATGAAATTAAAAAGAAAAAAAAAGTGTTCTAGAGAACTTTATTTTTCATTTCTATTGTAGCCTTACTTATCTCCAAAGGTCTCAAAGTGAAGCCCATGAATCCTAGGTCAGAAAGTGATTCCTCAAGTCATGCTGTGCTTCTTTCTCCCATTAGCAGTCCTTCTTACTGGAACAAGAGTACCATACCTGGCTCACTCTTCCCTTTGTTGATTTCTGATTCTAATACAAATAGATTTCTGTCTGTTGCTTCTATATAGGGCAATTCTTTTGACCCAGTAATTCCTCTTCACACATGGGGGAAAAAATTCATTTAAGTTTACTTAATGCATTGTTTGTAGTAACAAATGCCCGGAAACAACCTACCTGTCCATCTAGAGGGGACTAGGTAAATACTAGTTAAATACTTTTTGTTCATCCAAGAGTCCAGGTAAGAACATGCTCTGCAGTGGGTCCCAGAGGGCAGTGCAAGCTGCTCTACTACCTAGGGCCTTGTGACTCAGCATGATCAGATGGGTTGAACCCCCTTCGGGCAACAAGTACTACGTCTGTTCAGGTCCAGCCAGGAAAACAGAAGCTACCTAGGCATTTCAACAAAGAAATTAATATAAGCTATTGGTTATTTAGTTATTGAGAACTTCAAACAGCTAAAAGGAGAAAAAGGGGACAGTAATTCCAGGAAGCAATTCATGCCCCAAGACTGGGAAAACAAACATTGAGGTTAGGAGAATCCAGAGGTTTTTCAGGAGAGCCCTGGGGGAAGGGTCACTGGCCAGGGGCGTGATTGCCTCTGAGTAAATAGAATGAGGCTGGGAATGTCAAAAATAGGAAAACTGGAGACTGCAATCAATTGCCACGGTGGGGTAAAAGGTCAGGTACTCCTGAGAGGAACAGGAAGCAAAGAGAGCATTCCAGTCTCTATCCCGTGTCCTGTCCTGGCAAACTTCACAGGGAGCAGGCCTCCTGGTTTGCAGTCTGAAGGGTGAGACAGGAAGTGACAGACAACAGCATATTAATTGCACATATCCATAGAGCCCTTGAAGAGGAAGGGGCATCTATTCAAGCTAACAAGAAAGACTCAAGAAAAAAAGCAAGTTGTAGAGGTGTGCGATAGTATACCATCCGTTGAGATTAAAGGAAGAAAAAAAAATGACATATGCTGTCATATAAGGGCACAAGTCACAGGCACGTTTTCTCTCACTCGTGAATCTAACTCCATTAGCAGAAGCTATAAAGATGAAGAGCATTTTATTCAACTTACTTATAAAGATATGGAAGCTTTAAGGTATTGATAGTTACCATTACAGCTGTTCTCCTTCCACAAAAATAACCCCTGTTGGGCAGCCAAGCCGGGGAATTGGCCTTGATCTGAACTGCCTGGACTCAGCCATTCATCACATAAGAAATAAGTGAACAGTATAAAGAGGAAAAGTTTCTTTAATGTGGGTTGACTAAACTGGGGAGAAGCAGCTAGATTGTTTCTATTCTGGTCCTACAGAAGCATTTATAATTCATAGAAACAAAAGCCAGGAGATATACATATACAGACTTAGCTATGCTGTGCTAGCCAGGGAATCTGTCAGTTTTAGTTTGCTTCGATTCCACCTAGACCATGAGATAGTTTTTTTTAGCTCCCATTTTCAGCCTAAGGAAGTTGGAAAGTTAAAACACTTCAGAGTTTTTAATTTCAAAGGGACCTTTACTTCCAGTGGTCTTTTCTACATTTACCTTAATCTGTGTACATCACAACAAGGATGCTGATCCTTTCAAAGACAAAAACAACAAAATCCTTTGGAACAATTTTTATTTGTGCTTGAAATATAAATACACTCACATACGACTCATTCTATTCAAAATAGGTACTCCTGAGAGGAACAGCAAGCAAAGAGAGCATTCGAGTCTCTATCCCATATTCTGTCCTGGCAAACCTCACAGGGAGCAGGCCTCCTGGTTTGCAGTCTGAAGGACTGCGATCACCTTGTGAATCTAACAATCTCCTGTCATCTCCCTGGTAGCAGCTGAAACAGTGGAGAATTGGTATTTGCCTCTAACTATATTTATTTTTATTTAACAACAGAAAAAATTAAATATGATCCATACACATGAGACAAGGCTTGGAGAAATGAGATACAAAAATGAGTAAGACATCACTCCTGCCTTCAAAGACAATCTCAGCCTGGGAGGGAAGGGGTGGGAGAAACACACAAAGAACACAGGAGATGAAAAGAAATGAGGAAGCGAGGCAGGGGTTCCACATGAGCACCTGGATATTCTAGAGATGCTTTTATATCTAGTGCCAGAAAATTGGATCCAAAAAGGGACCTGAGAGCAGGCAAGATAAAGGAGCTGCTTTTAAATTTCATCCTAGAAAACACCTGATCCAGGGCCTTTCACTTTCTCTTTGTTCTGCCCTGGGTAGCTGAATCCAAGCCAGACCTTCCTTGGGAAGATTCACCTCACATTTGCTCCAGATCAGTTCCCAAAAAGGTAAAATGTGATATCATGCTGCTTTTTATCCCCGCCCCCACACATACACCTCTGCTCCATTCCTCTCCCCCAATCTCAGCCCCATTGCTTCAAAAATCAGAGTAAAGCTTTCTAGAAACTACTATTTTGTCAACAAAATGATAACAACTGCCTTGTGTTTGCACATATGTAATTTTCTCTAAAATACCATAAAAGGAAACTGAAATTCCAATTTCCAGGCTTCCAGTTCTTGAGCTGTGTAACTTTCTCTCCAGTGAGACTTAGGAGCTTTCCTTGGTAAATTTTGGACTTCAGCTTTTGCCAAAAAGCAATCAGTCTGACAACCACTTTCTTTTGCCTTTTGCCATTGGTATAAAGTGATTTTTCCCGATATGAATG